GATGACCCGCCCAGGACCGCAGCCAGGAGCTGAGACAGACAGCCTTGTGGGTGTCTTTCAAGGTGTTTTGGGGGTGGTTTAGGGTTAAGGGGTTAGGGTTAGGGCCTTAGGGTCCAGGGTTAAGGGTTTAGGGTTTAGGGGGTAGGGTTTAGGGTTTAGTGTTTCGGGTTTAGGGTTTAGGTTTTCGGGGTCTCGGGTTTGGGGTGTAGGGTTTGGGGTTCAGGGTTTAGGGTTTAGGGTTAGGGTCTAGGGTTTAGGGTTTGGGGTGTCGGGTTTAGGGTTTAGGGTTTAGGAGGGGGTAAGGTTTAGGGATGTAGCGTGGGTTTTCAGGATTCTTCTTGGTCGGTTCATCCTACTGGGGCGGGGCTCGAATGTAGTCTTGCAGTTCAATACATTCCAGATGATTCCAGACTTCACGGGTTCTCCTGCTTCGGGGTCAAACACGAAAACCTTTAGGACTACAAGGGCATGCCGAAATCGGGGAGCTTGGAGCTCTCTGCTTGCCTGGTGCAAACGACAACGCTGCTTTTTTCCAGACCAGATTGATAAACTGGGGGACGGATCCATGAGGCAGGGGCCCAGAACACCTGCCAATTTGCGATGTTTTTTGTTGGCAGTCCTCTCTCTCTCTCTCTCGCTCTCTCTCTCTCTCTCTCTCTCTCTCTCTCGCTCGCTCTCTCTCTATACATACAGGAACCTAAGCCATCCCCCAGATTTCCCCCTGGATTCGGTTTCGGGCTTAGGGTTTAGGATGTAGGGTTAGGGTTTAGGGTACGGTTCACCCATTTTAGCTAAGTTGGCTCCGATAGTACTTCTTCTGGGCTTCTATAGCAGTTCTTTTTGCGAAATTGCCCGGTCGTTCTTGACGGAGTGCCGCCGGTTCTTCAGTGGCCTCGAGGAAAACGGAAATCCTCAAGCAGAATAACCACAGCCTTGTCGGTATGCCTCACCATATCCCCCGTGATCTGTTCGGGGATTTGCAAAGTCAATGTTAAAATTATTCTGGTCTCGCCTTCATCGCACAGACTTCGGTCAGCCCTAGTCACCCCAAAAGATCTAATTAAAGCAGCGTGTGCACCCTAAACCCTAAACCCTAAACCCTAAACCCTAAACCCTAAACCCTAAACCCTAAACCCTAAACCCTAAACCCTAAACCCTAAACCCTAAACCTATAGGGTTTAGGGCCTCCTTCAACCTAACCCCTGAACCCTATCCCCTGCCTCTGTCGAACTGTATAAGGCACCGGCAGGAGCCCGTGATCCGCGGTGCACTCGGGATTTGTGGTTTAGGGTTTAGGGTTTAGGGTTTGACAGCGGGGATGTGGAAGCCCGAACCGGGATTTGCAGGGCCACAACAAAGCCGATTTCCTGCTCTCATATTCCCTCCTTCCCTTTCGAAGAACTCGCCAGCGAAACCCCTGAAACCCGCCCGAACCCTGATCCGCCAAGCTCTGACCTCCAAGCCATTGGCACCAATCAGAGATGCCTTAGCCCTAAACCTCCAGCAACCCCCAACCCCGCAAGCCCAAACTATCCCTACCCTATATAAACTACAACTTGCTAAAAAAACCCTCCAACAAATGCAAGAAAACCATCCTTATACGGCCTTTATAAGGAAGAATGTTTTGCATTTTTGGAGGGGGTTCTGAATCAACTAGTAGTAACCCTAAGGAAGCTTTTTAGACCCCAAGGTACCACGGCAAGGTTCACTTCTACCCTCACGACCAGGCGGCGGTCCGAAAAGTTCGGTGGCGAGTGTCCTGTTTCGGGTTTCAGGGCTTCAGGGTGTTTGGGGGGGTTCAGGGTTCAGGGCTTCAGGGGTTTCAGAGGTTTCAGGGGCTTCAGGGGTTTCAGGGGTTCAGGGCTTCAGGGAGGTTCAGGGGATTGCAGGGCTAGGGTGTTTGCGGTTTTGGGTTTCAGGGTTTAGGGTTTAGTGTTAATCGGCCTTAGGATTGCTTAGGGCTTCTGGGTGTTCGGGGGTTTAAGTTTCAGGGTTCAGGGTTTAGGGCTTCTTCAGGGCGTGATCATTCTTTTAGGGCATTCGGACGCTGGTGTTTGTGCTTGTCTGGTTAGTGGTTTGTTGTTCTGTACTGAACGATCATGCACCTGCCACCAAAGAAAAAGCCGGCAAAAACACTGAGTGCCACAACCCTAAACCCTTAAACCCTAAACCCTAAACCCTAAACCCTAAACCCTAACCCCTGAAGAAAAGACGACTCTCCGACTCGACAGTTCCGCCACACCCACCCGATTTTCGCATTGTTAACTACACGACTATTTGCTGAAGAACCCCCCCCCCCAAAAAAAAAAAAAAAAAACATTCTTCCTTACGGAGGTGATATAGGGTGCATTTTTATTTTGCATACCTTTTTTTGTGGGTTGGGGGGGTGGGGGGTGGGGGGTTCTTCAGCATATGGTAGTGAAGTCTTGTCTGGGCAGGTCATTTCCGGGAGTGCGCCGCTGCCTCGGCATGCCGTAGGATTGAAGCGTTGGGGTGTGGGTTTTTGTTTGTGTTTGCTGGGTAGGTTGAAAAGCCTAAGCCCCAAACCCTATGAACCCCTAAACCCTAAACCCTAAACCCTAAACCCTAAACCCTAAACCCTAAACCCTAAACCCTAAACCCTAAACCCTAAACCCTAAACCCTAAACCCTAAACCCTAAACCCTACCAGCCCTCATGTCGTCAAGCTTTTGAAGCATTCAACCTCGAGCCTGGTGGTGAGTGGGCCTTGTTTGGGGTTGCTGGCACTTCTGGTCATCGTAATCCCTTGCTTGGGCCGTCGGGTTTAGGCTTTGGGGTTTCGGGTGTATATAGGGCGTAGGGTTTAGGGTTTAGTTGTCTGGTTCTCTGGTTGAGGGTCTGTTGCCGTATCAGGGCTTTGTCTTCGTGGCCCCTAGCCCCGGAGTTATGAGCAATGTCCGTGCCATTCTTCCGTGTGCTTGTCGGGTCAGTATGGGAGGGGGTTCAGGGGGCGTACCTACCCCCATGAACCGCTGTCCCTTAAGGGACACTCAGGCATTGCTCTTTGTGGTACTTTACTGTAACTTTAGATCCTTACCCTTTTTGGGTTACTTGGGTTTCTTAATGAGGCAGCTAGAAGTTTAATTTTTCGCTGCCCTCCTGAGTGCAGCCAAGTCGGCAGGTGATGTGAGAATGTCGCTTCTGCTTCTATGCCCTCTATGCTTTGTTACCCTTCAGCCTTCGTGGTAGACTCCCGGGATCCCATCCCCCCCTATTCCTACTGTTGGTTTTTTTTTTTTTTTTTTTTTTTTTGCGGGGGGTGGGATTCTGCTGAATTACCAGTAGTAGGGGCCCTAAACTCTGCTCTCTAAACCCTGAACCCGTACACCCCTAAACCCTAAACCCCTGAACCCCTAAATTCTAGACCCACAAACCCGAAAGGTCATAGCCCTAGAAGCTTGAAATAGCTCAGGGCCTCGTCGAGTCAGTCCCCATGCGGGCCAGCCTCAGACAGTGTCGCTGCCCCAGAACTTGGGGTTTAGCGGTTTAGGATTTAGGGCTTAGGGGTTTCAGGGGTTCAGGGTTTAGGGTTTTTTGGCGTGTAGATGCTTCTTACAAAGTCGATGCCGCACCAATTCAAAAGTGCGAAGCTTTGACAGGAGTTCCGGACACCGAAAATGGTTTAGGGATTTGAGTTTGAGCCGCTTGCCCCCCAATACAAGTTTCGGGTTCTTAGAAGGGAGATCGTTGCAACAAGCCTACTGCTTCTTATGCTCGGTAGCCCAGTGGTGCCCTTTTTCCCTTTTTCGGTTCAAGGTTCCCTTATAAAGAAGCCAACCCAAAAAAGGGTGCCCTCATTGTAGTATGGTTACTGGGCTACCCAGTATGGTAGGGAGTTGAAGCGTAGGGAACTAGAGGGAACTAGGTATTTCATACTCATCCCTTAAGGAAAAATATACGTGGATAGCATCCTTACTAAGAACTAGAAAATTTGGTACCACGTACAGTGCTTTAAAGACATCCAGGGCTCCTAACTCTATATTGGTGAAGAAGCAGATGGGTTTAGGGTTTACAGCCCTGATGCGCGTGGTATTGTTGCGGCCTCCATTTTTCCAGGACACCCCGTGGCACCCCAGTTGCCCAGTTGCCTTGTGCTAGGATTAGGGTCGCTGCTCTCTTTCCATTTCGAGGGGCTTGGTTAGTAGAGGAGCCTCCAATTGTCATCGACTCAGAATACGTTAACATATCAAGCAAGCCTTTATCCCTATGCCTTGCCACGTCGAAATCCCGACATTGAGTCACTAACCCACAACCCTAAAGCATTCATTCGCTTAAACAACCGCACACTCTAACCCCGCCCCCCCCCCCCCCCAAACCGAAAAAAAACCCTAAACCCTACTCCCTCCCAAACCCTAAACCCTAAACAACCCTAAACCTAAACCCTAAACCCTAAACCCTAAATTTAAGAGCCTCCGGCTCAAGCCGCCGACCCCGCCGGAGCATTGTTCAGGGCTCAAGCGGCGCAGCGTGCCCCGGCGCCAAACCCTAAACCCAAACCCGACCCTAAACCCTACAGCCGAAACCCTGAACCCTACAGCCTAAACCCTAAAGCCTCAGCCCTAAAGCCGAACCCTAAACCCCAAAAAAGCCTAAACCGAAACCGGAACCTTAAACCCCCAAAGCCTAAACCGAGGACAGTTTAGGGTGCAGGGGGGGGAGAGGGGGGGGGGGGGGAGGGGGGGGGGGGGGGGGGGAAGGGGGGGGGGGGGGGGGGGGGGGAGGGGGGGGGGGAGGGGGGGGTGGGAGGGGGGGGGGGGAGGCGGCGGTGGGTTTTTTCCCAAAAACCCCTATGCGCTGTGCGAAACCGCCTATGGTCCATGAGTACACGCGGTGTGGGTGGCCTGGCCCTCCTTAAAAGCTGCCGGGGTTTTTCACCTCCAGAAACCTATCTGCCAAAGTCGGCGGACCCTAAACCCTAAAACAACCCTAAACCCTAACTCCCCCGCCCCTCCCCTCCCCATCCCGCCGGGCTCACAGGTTATGGCGGTGCAGGGGAGCGTTGCAGCCAAAGGCGGTCTGAGGTTTAGGGTGGTTTAGGGTTTAGGGTTTAGGGTTTAGGGTTTAGGGTTTAGGGTTTAGGGTTTACGGTTCGGGGCAGAGAGAGGGTTCTAGGCCTTTAGGGTGTAGGGCTACCGGATGTTGCTTTAACGTCTTGTTTCGGGGGGTTTAGGGCTTAGAGTTTAGGGTTTGGGGTTGGGGGTTTAGGGTTTGGGGTTCGGGGTTTGGGTTCAGGGCGCGGCTTTCGCTTGAGCGGCTTGGGGGCTTGCGGGTGTTGTACAAGTTAGGTTGAGGGCTGACCGAAGAGACTCAGCCATAAACCCTAAACACCTAAGCAACAAACCCCTTTTGGGAGAATCGAGGAGATGCACCTGAATCTTCATGAATGGGATAGGCCTTTGCAGCTTAAGAGGAGTTTCGGGTTAAGTGCTGCTAGGAATAAGAGTAGACCCTTATTCCCGTTGGGGTTTCCCTTGAAAGCCCTTTAATGCAAAAGGGTGCAGTGCCGTTGTTATTCCTAGGTTCATCTCGGTTCAGGGGCTTTGGGTTCTCCATGCTTTTGCGCACGGGTTTAAGGAATTAGGGCTTAGGGTTAAGGGTTTAGGGTTTAGGCGTTCGGGCTTAGGGTTTATATAGGGTTTAGGGTGGAGGCGGCTGAGAGCTGAAATAAACCCCCAAGCCCGAAAATCAGCCTCTCTGGAAGGCTTTGCTGCCACCGCAGCCGCGGTCTCAGAGAGCTTATTGAAAGCTTACGCAGTCCACGTTTCAGGGAGTCAGGTTCAGGGTTTAGGGTTTAGGGTTTAGGGTTCAGGGTTCAGGGTTTAGGGTTTAGGGTTTAGGGTTTAGGGGAAATTTAGGGCTTCGGGCTTCAAGGCTCTAGGGCGCAATTTTGATGATCAGCTTGTTTGGGTGCAGGTTTTTTGTAGGCTGGCACCTCGCGAAGGCCACGTTGACAGAAGTTGTCCCTGAGACCCCAAACCCTAAACTGCAGAAGCAACCTCCTGCTTCTAACCCTCCCTCAACCCCTAAACCCTAAGCCCAAAAAAACCCAACAGACGCTCCAAGGGCATCGTAACTCCTCAAAGCAGCCAAAAAAGGCTCTGAAGGCCCCGTGTTGGAGACTTGCCTCAACCCCGCATCACATCCATGACGACACGCATCAAAACCCTAAACCCCAAACCCTAAACCCCAAACCCTAAACCCTAAACCCTAAACCCCAAACCCCGAAACACTAGTGAACCCTCAGGAGCCTCCACAACCCTGCCGCTTTTGGCGGCTCGACCAGGTGTCCCTTCCCAAGACCCAGCGCGAGCTCTGCATGTGCCGGCCCTCAGCGCCGACACGCTTCCTGGGCTTCGGGGGATTAGGGTTTAGGGTTTAGGGTTTAGGGTTTAGGGTTTAGGGTTTAGGGTTTAGGTTTAGGGTTTAGGGTTTAGGGTTTAGGGATATATAAGCCCAAAACTTTACGGAAGCCCTATAAAGTACAAGTAAGTCGATAAGCCAATTACGGGCGAGTTACTCGCAGAATGTACCCTTGTGAAAATCTTGAAGCGGCGACCATGAGTTTGGGGGGGGGGGGGGTTGTGAAGGACTGTCGTGCTTCGTGGACTTTGGGTGGCGCAGCCTTGTTTCGGAGATAAAGCATCCCTAACTACAATTTATCTTCAGACCCCCCCAAGAAACATGAACATATTCTTCAACATAGGGATTATGTTCTTTAATTTGTTGGGGGGTCTTCAGAAAATAGCAGTTTAGGGTGGTAGGAGTTGGCGCTTGTTTGTCTCTTGCGCTCCGCCCTCAGAAGTAGTATCGCTGGGAAGCAGTTTGATTCTGCCAATCTCTGGGGGGGGGGGGGGGGGGAAGAGAGCCCTTAAGCTCTAAGCCTGGGGGCCTTGAGTGGGTCTTAGGGGCTTCCAGCTCTTTCGGTGCTTTTGTAGGGGCAGTTGTTTTGGCGGATGTTTTTTGCTGTGGGTGCTTTCTGCTTGGGGGTGGGGGGGCCTTCAGTAAGTAGCCGTTGCCCGCACGCGCAGCAAACAAGAAAATAAGATCGCCAAGAAACAAAAAGCCCCCCTCCCGCATCCGCAGCAAAACAAAAGAAGGTGCCCCCACCCGCAGCAAAAACACACACTTGGGGGCTGTGGCTTAGAGATGCAACACCAAAACCGGGAAACCGTCAGGCCCCAAGCTGCCCAAAACTGCCCGAAACTGCCCAAAACACAAACCCACCACACCGGTATCCTCGTACCTCAACACCCAATCAACTCAAGATGTCCGAAGCTCTCAACCCCCCTGATCCCTTTGAACCTTTAACCCCCAAATCCTGAACCCCAAGCCCTAAACCCTAAACCCTAAACCCTAAGCCCTAAGCCCTAAACCTTAAACCCTATCCGACAGTCCCGGATCCGCCGCGGAGCTGGCGCGGCCGCGGCGGGAGACGCTGCCAAACCTGGCACCACCAGGCGCCATTTCTGTTGGTAGGACAAGGTTTGTGTTAGGGTTTGGGGTTTGGGGTTTAGGGTTTAGGGTTTAGGGTTTTGGGTTTAGGGTTTAGGGTTTAGGATTGAATGGCCGAAAGGTTGCTGGTCAGCTCGGTAGTCGCACTGCTTGCTCTGTCAACATGATAGGCCTAGGGCTGTGGTCAATTGGCCGCATGCTCTGGAGGCGAGACGGCGTGTTCTGGATTACTTCAGGCTTGATGCAAAGAAGTTGGGCTACAAGCGGAAGAAATTGAGCTTCGAGAAGGCTGCTGATTCGCTGCCATCCGACACTGACTCTGGTCTGGGCGGGTTTTGGCATCCGGAAGTGCCGCATTCGTCCTCTTCTGCCTGATGCTGCTATTGCGCAGTCCGAACGCGCTACTTCGCCTGGCTTCAATTGCCCCATCACCTAGCGTGTTGGGCTCGAGGACGCTTGTTCGCTGGAACATGGAGGTGGGGCGTCGCTGTTCCCAGGCTGGCCCGCGTCCACCTCCGGACCCGTTACAGGGGTTTAGGAGCTGAGGGTTTGGGGTGTTTAGGGCCTACGGTTTTAGGGGGTTTCATCTACGGGTAGTCAGATGGTCCTTAATATGGTCCCTTACCTTCCTTAAAGGCTTCGGAAGTATGGGCTTATATGGGGTATGTGGAGGTACATAAGGGGCTGCGTACGCGCGCCTCAGCCCGATGAGCTTGAAAGGGCTTAGGGCCTCGAAGTTAAGGCTATTAGCCTTCAACCCTAAACCCTAAACCTTCAACCCTAAACCCTAAACCCTCAACCCTAAACCCTAAACCCTAAACCCTAAACCCTAAACCCTACACCGCAAGTCCTGAACCTTAAGCTAAGATGTGGTGTATACTCATCGTGGGGTACTTGGACGGCGTTGGCAGTGTTCCAGCGGCTCTGCTTGGTAAGTTAGACGAGTGCCACTTTAAGTCCAAACGTGACGCCGGAAGACTTCTGACTTTTGAACTGTTGAGAGTCATCGCACTGGTGGACTGCAAGGGTACAGGGTTCATAGTTTATAGGGTTTTGAAGTAGAGGCCTTTTTTTTTTTTGGGGGGGGGGGGGGGGGGGGGGGGGGTGTGGGGGCTTTAGGCGTCTAGAGCTTGAGGGTTCATGCAATGTGCCGAACTTAGGGAGTTTAGGGTTTAGGGTCTGAACCCTAAACCTTCAACCCTATAGACCAACAGATCAAAGCCCAAGAACTAGACTACCCAATCAGAAAACCCTACTCCCCCTATGTTCTCATCTCAGGAAACAGGCGCCTTCAACCCAAACCTCGAACGGGCTAAGTGTACATAAACCCTAACCCTAACCCCCTAAACCCTAAACCCTAAACCCTAAACCCTAAACCCTAAACCCTAAACCCTAATTAAACCCTAAACTCTTGAGGAACCCGGAAGACTCGAAGTTCCCTAAACGCCCTCCACCTGGCAGCTACCTGGTCCGGGGGCGGCTCGCCAACTGGCGAGGCAGCCGTCTGGTGGGTTTTGTTGGTGGGTTTTTTGTTGTGGTTAGAAGGGTTTTTTGGTGGGTTTTTGGGTGGTTTAGGGTTTTTTGGTGGGTTTTTTGGTGGTTAGGATTTAGAGTTTAGAAGTGGTTTTGGATGTGGGTTTCGGGGGTTTGGGGTGTAGGGTTCTGGCTATAAGTTATAAGCATTCTTTCTATGTGCTTCCTGGCTGCCTCCAGGCAGGCAGTGACCTGCAGCCCTCAACAAGAAGCTGACCCGAACCAGCGTAATCTAGGGTCCCTTCGAGGTCCGTGGGTTTAGGGGCGTTTAAAGTTTAGTTCAGGGAGTTTGTTTTTAAAGGGTATTTAAGGCCAAAGCCATACCATGGAGGGCCCTAAATCCTAATACCGTCTTTGGAAGCGAGTTGTTATATTCAGTCTTTATTTGACAACACATAGCTTCATATTCCGTTTTTCTGTTATGTACTGTTCTTACAATGTTTGGGGCCTTTGGGCTTTACTTTTGGGCCTAAGAAACTCGAAGTCACTAGCTTAAGCCTTGACACTAAGGTGCCCGAATACAGGGCTCGGAATAACTGCTAATCGCATCCCCTCAGAGTCCCTCTGCAAGTATACTGTGTTAGAATATCCCATCTCCGCCAAAACCCTATAACCCTAAACCCTAAACCCTATGCGTACCCTAAACCCTATTCGAATTGTTAAGCCTCCATGAAGCATGGATTAAGGCTTCCGTTGGGTGTTGACGCTGTGAACCCCTGCAACCCACACTCTCACGGACCTGACAAAAGGCTGCGCAATCGGAATAGCTATGGCTGGTCGTATTTAGGGGTCGGAAATCAAGGGGTCTGTACCATATGTGTCAAACCTAAAACGAAACCATAACCCCAAACCTAGAGCCTAAACCCTAAACCCTGTCAAAAAAAGAGGCCCCTGTGTTTTTAGACTTCGCCCTTTTGTGATGTTTGGCGCACAGGCACACAACATGCAGGAAGAGCTTCGTCTCCGCCAGTCGTGGGGCACTTCGGCCGAAGATTGTGCTCGGGAAGCCCTAAGCCCTAAACCCTAAACCCTAAACCCTTACCCCTAAACCGCGCTATACGGTCTTTAGCCAAAGCTCCGTTAAGCCTTAAGCCCTGTCAGCCCAAAGCCGGTAATTGCACCCGAAACTTTAGCGGCAGGCTTATTTCGAAGCAAACTCGGCTCAGAATTCCACATGTCTATCGTCCTGAACCCGAACACCCTTACCCTTGATGCCACTATTTTTCTGAACTAGTTCATGGGTTTATAGGTTTTAGGGTTTAGTGTTTACAGTCTAGGGTTTAGGGTTGGGGTATGGGGAGTCGGGAGGAAGTGTCCCTCTTGGGGTTGGGTTTAGGGTTTAGGGCTTTTCTTTAGGTTTTAATGGGGCCTTAAAGGCTTATATGGGGGGGGGATAAGAGGAAGCCCTGATTCCCTTGGTCTTGCCAAAGGGGTGGGGGGGGGGGGGGGGGTGGACCTGAACTAACAGAGGCGTCGGTAAGGTGAATGGTGGTATTCCCTCCACTTTCATCTAGGGATCCGAACAAAACAGCCCTTAGCCCTCCTGAACTTTGGGCCTTTTGGGGTTTAGGGTTTAGGGTTTAGGGTTAAAGGCTTTTTAGGGTGCAGGGTTTGGTATCTACACACCAGGAATCTTAAACCCTGAACCCCCAAGTTTCTCCTCTCAGGTCCGGGCTCCATCATCGAGGTCTACAGCTCCTCTTTGGGAGGCGGTTTAGGGTTTGGGGTTTAGAGTTTAGGGTTCAGGGTTCAGGGTTTAGGGTTCCGGGCTTCCGAGTCTGCACCGCGTGTTTCCTAGGTGTTAGGGTTTGGGGACTTAGGGTTGGGAGTGCATTGGGTTGCTTCGCTCAGGACCCTAAACCCTAAACCCTAAACCCTAAACCCTAAACCCTAAACCCTAAACCCTAAACCCTAAACCCTAAACCCTAAACCCTAAACCCTAAACCCTAAACCCTAAACCCTAAACCGTGCCTGTAGGCTGGTCTGTCGGCGTCGTTACGAAGGCGGCCCGCTTCTGCTTTCCGGGGCGGGCCTGACACCCCGAAGCTTGGAGGGTTTAGAGTTTAGGGTTTAGGGTTTAGGGTTTGGGTTTAGGGTGTTTGTTGGGATGTTCCCCTTATTCCAACAGTACTGAATAGCGAGTAGAATAGGGGTACGATACTCCCAAATCAAGGACTGCTAGCTTTAGGGGGAACATCCCATGGTGTTTACAATATGCAGGGACCCCGAATATCGACGCCCATATGGATCCCATTATAATCGGTAAGCTACCCATCATGTCGTAAACCCGCACAGAAGGCCACAAAGAGAGGAGCTCACAGGTTTTGCGAGGTGTTTGGGGTTTAGTGATTTCTGTTCGGATCTCGAGGAGGGGAGGAGTCTTTATAAAGCTCCAGTTGGCTTCAAGTTGAACCTCGAACCCCTAACTAACCCCAAACCCGAAATCCTGAACCCTAAGCCCCTATAAACCCCAACCCTGTACCCTGAATCAACCCTGAACCCCTGAAACCCTGAACTCCATGAGCCCTCTAAATCCCTAAGAGCTGTCTGAGCATCTCTTTGCTGGGAGTGGAATAAAGTGGTCCTCACGCGGGTCTGGGGTTTAAGGCTTGGGGGGGTTTAAGGCTGAAATGAAGAAATCATTGCGGGCAGTAAGGCGCCAGGATCGCCCGAATGATCCTTTCAAGACATGACTTTGGATTTAGGATTTAGGGTTCAGGATTTAAGGGTTTAATTAGGGTCAACTGTTTTGCGGAATATGGTGGAAGCACACTGTGCCGGCCAGGCTTGGACAAACCATACCAACAGCTTTAAGATCGCACTGGGCTTCGGGATTTTCCTTCTACCGCGAAGGCTAACTCCTTACATCCTGATACCCCCTCAGCCCCTCAACCCTGAGTCCTCAACCACTTAGGGTTTAGAGTACATCCTGCACTCCTTCAGCCCCTCAACCCCGAGTCCTCAACCACTCAAAACCCCAAACCCTGAGCCCTGAAATCCCGCAACGAGGTGACACAGCAGGACCAGATGGTGGTGCAGTTCAGCAATGAGGCCGGGCTCCAGCATGGGGGGGGGGGGGGGGTGCAGAGGGTTTAGGGTTTAGGGTTTAGGGTTTAGGGCTTAGGGTTTAGGGTTTAGGGTTTAGGGTTTAGGGTTTCTAGCACTCACCCCCCCTAAGTCCCCATGACCCTGGAACTTAGCCGCTAAAGGGCCTCCCCAAAGCTGTTCCCATGCTCTTTCGCTCTTGAGTGGGAGGTAGGCCCCATGCCTTGAGGCCGTTGAAACCCTAAACCCCTCGCTAACCTCTAAACCCTAAGCCCGAAGCCCTATGCCCTAAGCCCTAAGCCCTAAGCCCTAAGCCCTAAACCCTAAAGCCTAAACCCTAAACCCTAAACCCTAAACCCTAAACCCTAAACCCTAAACCCTAAACCCTAAACCCTAAACCCTAAACCCTAAACCCTAAACCCTAAACCCTAAACCCTAAACCCTGAACCTTACCGAGTCGCGGCTGGTCTGGTATGTCCTGCGTTGGGGAGTCAGGAGGCGCTTTAGGGCTTTAGGGCCCCCAGTCCTTGGCGCGCCAAATCCCTGAAGCCTAGGCCCCCTAACCCCCCATCCGGACTTCCATTCTAGGACTCTGGGTTTTCAGGGGTCAGGTTTCATGATGTCCGAAACCCTAAACCCTAAACCCTAAACCCTAAACCCTAAACCCTAAACCCCCAAAAAACACATTAAAACGTAACGAGAGAGAGAGAGGGAGAGAGAGGCAGCCTTGCTACTGGGAGGTCACTGGCCAACCTGGTTCTACAAAGCCCTACAGCCCAGCCCGACCTAAGGTTGCAAGAAGCCCGCCCGCAGACCCTGAAGCCCCATACCCTGAACCCTTCCTAGGTTTAGGGTTTAGGGTTTAGGGTTTAGGGTTTAGGGTTTAGGGTTTAGGGTTTAGGGCTTAGTCAAACCTTTTTTTCAGATGTGAGGCCCTCCAGCCGCTCATGAAAGTCCTCCCCCGGAGCGACGTGCAGCTCGCTACGCTGGGCTGCCGGGCCCTCAGGGTTTTGGGTTTTAGGGTTTTAGGGTTTTAGGGTTTTAGGGTTTTAGGTTTTAGGGTTTTAGGGTTTTAGGGTTTTAGGGTTTTAGGGTTTTAGGGTTTTAGGGTTTTAGGGTTTTAGTGTTTTAGGGTTTAGGGTTTAGGGTGTCGGGTTTGGGGACGTCCGGGGTTGTGAAGCGTAACATGAGCTTTTCTGACCAAAGAGTAGATGAGAAGGCCCTTACATCGAGGACCAAAGGAACATGAAGGAACCCTTAGACTGGGATCTGTGCATCAAACACACTTCTGGCCCTTAGGGCCCTTCACTTCCTCGAAGCCTTGCACCCCCAAGGGATGCCTTAAAAGGATTATGACTATCCAAACCAGCCTATGATTCAGGGCTTCTGCAGGCTGAGGTCTAGGGCTCTAGGGCTCTCTTATGGCTGAGCTCTGGGTTTCATTTAGGGGTTTGGGCCCCTTATCGCGGCCCAAAGTCCCACCAAAAAGACTCCAGGTAACACGAAGTCGCTGCCTCCACAAATCCAAGTCGTGCCTTCGCAATCGCGGCCTGGCCAGGCCCCATGAGTTTAGGGTTCAGGGACTCAGGGTTCAGACGGTGTACAGTTCGGGGTTAAGAATTATATTACAAAACAAAAGTTTGGGGGCTTAGGGTTTATTAGGGTTTAGGATTTAAGGTTTGGGGTTTAGGGGGGAGGGGAAGGAGTCCCTGACACCCTGTTGATTGATAGGTCCTTGTGCGACCTAGCCAAGTTTAGGAAGAAACGTGAGCGCTTCAGACGCAGCAATCGGCGGGTGTAGAACGACGTCGAGTGCTGCTTATCGCGAGAAGATGCGCGTTCAGACAGAATAGACTACACTCAAACTTCTTTCAACAGGATTTTGATCTTGACCTTTGCCCTAGAAAGCCCAACCCTGAAACCCCAAAGGCCCCAACCCCCCCCCCCCTTCCCCCAAAAGATAAATCATAAGAAGAAGAATCAGGGTTTAGGGTGTAGCGTTTCGGCGGCTCATCGGGTTTCAGGGTTGAGGGTTTAAAGGACTCCCAACTCCTGAGCCGCCAGCGGCCCTGGCAGGTCGCCTACCTGGATGCTGCGCACCAATGCCGCTACTCCACTCCGGAAGCTGCATGGTCTGCTTCTAAGTTTAGGGTTTAGGGTTTAGGGTTCAGGGTTCAGGGTTTAGGGTTTAGGGTTTAGGGTTTAGGGTTCAGGGTTTAGGGTTTAGGGTTTACGGTTACTAGTTATACTAGGGGTTTGGGGGTCGAGGGTTGGGGGGGGGCGGGGGGGGCGGGGCCCCCCAAAAGCCGTCCTGTGGGGGGGGAGCTTGCTGTTCATGGTGTAAGGGTTCTGCTACCCTAAAATCCAAACCCCGAACCCCTAAACCGTAAACCATAGTGTTTATTTAATCTGGGGTCTCAGGTTCTGTAGGTTTAGGTAGGTCCTCAATAGGGATTATCGTCCCCCCTATGAAAATCCCTATTCAGGACAGGGGGAACATCCCAAGGTTTAGGGTTCTGCTCTCTCAGGCGACAGCACTTTCAAGACCTGTTGGCGAAGTGGCAGAAAGCAGGCAATCGTGTGGAGCTACCCCTAAATTATGGTTTAGGGTTTAAGCTTTAGGCTGTAGGGGTTAGGGTTTAGGGCTTACCCTAACCCCTAAACCCTAAACCCTAAACCCTAAACCCTACGACCCCAAACCGGTTTAGGGTATCTGGCCTAGGGAAGTTTGGGAGTTTAGGGAAGGGAAGTTGGGTAGTTTTGGGGAGTTTAGGGAATTTTGGGGCGTGGCGGCTGAGGGTTTTGGAAGTTTTGGGGATCTCGAAGCCCGAAGTCCTCCAAATCCCTAGAACGCTACGCCCGAACTCCAACAACTTCAAAGAGCACAAGCACTCGCTGCTACTGGACACTACTGCACCTAATGGCACTAAGCCCTGAGCCCGATACGCTAAACCCCAAAAAGGAGACCAGGATGCTCTGAAACCCTAAACTAGGGTTTAGGGTTTAGGATTTAGGGTTCCTTCACAACCCCGAACCCGAAACCCATCACCTGGTCTGCAAAGGTCTGCAACTAGGATACCCAGTAGAGGTCTGCAACTACTGCCTAGCAGTACCCTGATTCCCTTGTTGGGGTGTTTAAAGGTTCCCTTTTCAACCGCTTTAAGAAAAAAGGGCATCCTCATTGATCCTAGCTTCCTGGGCTAGGCAATGACAGGAGACAGGACTCCGCGTTTGGGTGCGGTGTGATGCAGCACGCGAACAGTTCAGGGTTTAGGGTGCAAACGGTTGCAGCCTTGAAGTTCAGGTGTGTCTGTGAGAGAGAGAGAGTGAGTGTGAGTGTTCGTGTTCGTGTGAGTGAGAGTGAGAGTGAGGGTGAGGGCGAGGGCGAGGGCGAGGGCGAGAGCGAGAGTGAGAGTGAGAGTGTGAGTGAGTGTATATGTATGTGTGTGTGTGTGTGTTTATGTGTGTGTGTGTTAGAATATTCGTTGTAGGGTGCACAGATCGAGTTGGGGTTCTGGAGCCCTTTAAATCTTAAACTTTCAAGCTACACGATGCCGCATGCTCTCAGTTCCTCCTTGCTGGACCCCGAAGTCGCTAAGGTCACCTCCCATAAGACTTCAGGGTTTGGTGTTTAGGGTCTAAGATCCCCTTAAACCCTAATTAACCTTAGTTATCCCTAAACCCGAATTAAACCCGAAACCCTGAACCACCCCAAGCACTCGGGCCGCGAAGCCCCCTAATCCCTAACCCTAAACTCTAAACCCTAAACCCTAAACCCTAAACCCTAAACCCTAAACCCTAAACCCTAAACCCTAAACCCTAAACCCTAAACCCTAAACCCTAAACCCTAACGCCCTGCCAGGGGAGCGGCTCTGGAACGGCTGAGGCGAGGCTCTCAGTTTCGGGCGTTCCGGGGTTGGTTTTGAGGGTTTGGGGGGGTTTTAGGGTTCGATTTTGGGGACTTAAGCGTTTTGGGTAGGTTTAGGAGGGTTGGCAGGCTTTGCTCTCTGCTTTCTCCGGATTTTCCCCCCTCGCGCCAGCTCTCGCCCGTTTCGGGCTTAGAGTCTTTGCAGTTCAGGGTTTCGGGTGCAGGCTTGCAGTTTAGGGTGTTGCGGGGCAGGTTTGCGGCGTGTACTTAGGAGTCGGAGTTGCGTGATGACCACAGAGAAGCTTTTCCGAGTTCTGTTGCATCCTCCTCCGCTGTTCGGTGCTCAAGGCGCTTTGCCCTGATGCGACTCAAGCGTTGCCTACGAAAATAAGGTGGTGAACTCCTCTAAGTGGCAACCATGAAGCTTTGGTTGTCCTTCGTGCTCATTCCCTTGGCAGTGGCAATCCGGGCGGACTCTACGCACAAAGCCGCAGACGGCGTCAACAACGGCATGACACGCTCAGACGTGAAGACTGCCGCCGAGGTGACGGGAGGGGCCTAAACGACAGCCTTGTTGCTGCTAATCACGGTTTAGGGTTAGGGGAGAGGGGTGGGGGGTGGGGGGGAGTGCTTGGTTCATAGAGGAGCACGCTACATGTGTACATCGCCCGGCTCTTCCCGTTGAGGACATTGATGTGCTGGCACTCGTGGGAGCCAAGAAGTGTTGTGCCTGCAAAGAAGACCCAAACAGAAAGGGCAAGTGCAAGAAGGACACCAACGGCAAGACAAGCGGTTGTGGACCCGATTGCGACCATGAACCAGGATACAAGTGCTGGCACAGGCTCGGGTATATCTTCCACGACCTGGACTGCGAGAAGTACAACTGAAGCAAAAACCCTAAACCCTAAACCCTAAACCCTAAATGAGGCCCTCTAGAGCCCCAGCTTCTCACATCGGTCTTACCCGGGTCTTATAGTTGGACGTGCCGAGGAGCTGTTTGTCTGAGAAGAAAGAGCTGCCAACAACAGGTTTAGGGTTTAGGGTTTCGGGTTTAGGGTTTAGGGTTTAGGGTTTAGCTTGAGATGAAGCCAGCCAATGTTCGCGCCCTCTGGAGAGCGTACTTTTTCGTATGAGTCTATCGCAGGTCAGCATGCTTGATTCCATCATTCACAACATATCCGTACATGTAGTATGTGACAGCAAGCACAAACTTACACTGCGATTGATCCAGCAAAATAATGGCATTTCCGAACATTGGCCCCTAATATACCCAAAAAATAGTATACATCTTCTGAAAGGGTCATAAACCCGAAAACCCTATAATAACCCTAAACCCTAAACCCTATAGCCCTAACCAGGACCTGTGATCTGATGGCTCTCCGCATTCGGTTTGTGTTTAGGGTGTTTTTGCAAGGGAAATATCTAAACCACGGGCCATTTATTGGGTACCCTGTACTTTGAGTACAAGGCTCCGTGTTTCAAGAGAATCCAGCAAAGAGACTCTAATTTGGAGAATCCCGGGACGAATTTTCCTAGTTTGTGGTTGCCTACCCTCAATCAGCCCTTATACGAGCAGTCCTTAATATGGATTCTAATTGGGGGTGCGAAATAATCCCCTATTAAGGACTGTTCGTATAAGGGGGAACATCCCAACCCTCAAGCCCCAGAACCCCCCCCCCCCCCCCCCCCCCCCCCCCCCCCCCCCCCCCCCCCCAAGATTTCAATACAAGTTAGGAGCAGGGTTTAGGGTTTAGGGTTTAGGGTTTAGGGTTTAGGGTTTCAACCGTTGTTTCTTCCAGGCTCCAAAGTGGCTTGCGGCTGGACGTGGTCATGCGAAAGCAAGAACTTCTGAACTTTGGCCGCGGACGGCGTCCAGGCTTCTTTAGGATTTAGGTTTCGGGTTTAGGGTTTAGGGTTTAGGTCGAGTTGTGTTCACTCATGCTGCCGTTACGGTTGCTACGCTTGCTACCATGGCTTTTGTTTTAAAGCTTGCGCATGCAGGACACCAATGGCACTCACATCCTCTGGGCTCTTTACTTCCAAAAGCACAGATTGTTGCACGTAGACTGTAGTAGCATAGGAGCAAACACACCAAACAAACAAGAGAACAAAGGCACCACTTAAACCCTCAGCCAGAGAAAGCACCCTAAGCCCGAATCCCGAAACCAGAGAAATCACCCTAACAGCCTGAAACCCAAAGCCCTTTAAGGGGGGAGGGCTCAGAACCTTAGGGTTTATAGGGTTTAGGGTTTGGCTGCAATTAGGGTTTAGGGTTTAGGTTTCAGGGTTTAGGGTTTCGGGTTTAGGGCTATAGCAAGTTGTGGTTGGTTCTTTTCAAGCCATTCTTTAGCATTCAAAGTTTCGTATTCAAAGGCCACCCTCAACCAAGAATCCGCTGCCCCCTTAGACATGAGGCTCCCCACTCCTCCCTTACACAGTTTAGGGTTTAGGGTTTAGGGTTTTTAGGGTTCGGGCACCCACAAAACTTGCCTAACCCTACACCCGAAACTCCGAAACCATTGGGATTGCGGGGCACTTCTGTGGAGGGAGTTGTGGGCTCCATGCATTTGGGGGTTTCGGAGGAACCCTTTGCAGACGGCAGTGCGAGCCCACTTCCGGCAAAGCCGTTCCGAAGCCATGGGCGCTCCACATGCGCTCCCCGAAACGGTTTAGGGTTGAGGGTTTAGGGTCTAGGGTCTAGGGTTTAGGGTTTAGGGCTTAGGGTTTAGGGTTTAGGGATACCCTGCTGTACACCCGAAACCCACAAGGTCGTCAGGATGGTGGTCGAAGGGAACTTTAGGACTTACAGGGTGGTTGGTTTAGGGTTTCAGGGTGATTTAGGGTTTTTGGGTTAGGGTGTTCAGGAAGTTTCGAGTTCAGGGTTTAGGGTTTCAGGGGTGGTTTACGGTTTATCTGGCCACGTAGGTTTTTGAGGTCGGAGGGGGATGCTGGGATAGACGCCTGAAGCCCATGATGCGCTCATGGCTTTCAGCCCGCAGGGGGCAGCCATCGCTTTCGAAGCTCCGAAACCGGACTCGACGTCACCTGCTCTTGTGCGTCAGATGGGAGCCGAATTTAGGGTGCATGAGCCCTAGATATCCCTGAATTCTGCCGAAATAGACCCTAATTACACCCTATACTGTAGGTTGCCTCTCGATTGCTTGTTGGTTTAGGGTTCGTGAGTCACCCTTCAACCCTGCAGGGTTTGTTTGTAGGGTTTCGTGTGCTTGCCTCGGGTTAGAGGGAGAGAGGACGACCCTCCTGAATCCTCTACATGTACTAAGCTTAGGGTTGCAAACCCTAAAACCCGAAACCCGCCAAACTTCTAAGACCCACCAAACTTCTAAGAGATCGGTGTAAGGTGTAGGGTTGCAAGTTCTTGACTTCAGGGTTAGGGTTCAGGTGTCGCCATGGAGTTCTGAGGGCCATCTCAACCCCTGTGTCTATTCGACACCCCAAGAGGTCCAGGGTTTAGGGTTAGGGGTTTAGGGTGTAGGGTTAGTGTTTTAGGGTTTGGGGTTTGGGGTTTAGGGTTTAGAATAACCATTCAAACCCTTCATCCCTTCATCCCTCTCTTCCGCAAAGCCGCACCTCGTGAATTCCCAAGAAGAGAGACCAGGAAGATGGTCGATAGACCGTAGGGGGTTGCAGTTGGGATGTTCCCCCCTGCTACGAACAGCCCTTTATAGGGATTTTAGTACCCCAACAATAAATCCCTATTAGGGACTGTTCGTATATAACATATAAGGGGGAACATCCCAAGGTTGCACAGTATGTTTCAACTGCGCCCGCTGTTTCGGGGGGGGGGGGGGGGGGGGGGGGCCCCTGCTTTGAAACCCAAAGCTTCAACCGCCCGCCGCCTGGCTCTTAGTTCTCCAGCTTTCAGTCGTCAAGGGACATCGCCACGACACGTCCCTACTCTGCCAGCGCCCCATGGGTTTTATTGTTTCGGGCTTGGGGTTGAGGATTTTACGGGCTTCACGGCAGCTTTGGCTAAGCTACCCCCCTCCCCGGCCCCCACCCTCAAGTGCTAGGTCTACGCCCGACACCCCGAAACCGAGGTTCCGAGTTTTCCCTTGCCTCTTAAACTCCATATCTCCGCAAAACCCTTACATCATCCCCACCAAACTCCTAACCCCCAGACGGGCCCTAGGCCCGGCCTAGGATAGGGTTTGTGTTTAGGGTGTAGGGTGTAGGGTTTAGGGTGTAGGGTTTAGGGTTTAGGGTTTTGGGTTTAGGGTTTAGGATTTAGGGTTTGGGGTTTAGGGCTTGCTCCTAGCACCCAAAAAAACTGACGGCACCGGATCCACCTTAAAGCCCAAGCTCTCGAAAGCCCGGAGCGCCCCCGAGCTCCAGGAACCTATTCCCGAGGGACTTGATTAGTCTAGGGTTGGGGTTTGAGTTTGGGGTTTAGGGTTTAGGGTTTTAGGGTTTAGGGTTTAGGGTTTCGGGTTTCGGGTCCCTGTCAGTATCCCTTGGACCCCATTTGGTCCGCGGTTTTCTTGTGGGTGTAAGATCGTGCTCAGGTGCAACTTGCTTGATGACCGGAAGCTTTTACCTTTGTCCGGACACCTGGGCACCAGAAGGAAAGCAGCAAAGGTTTCGAGTTGCAAGAAACGCTCAGCCTTCCAAACCCAGCAGCCCTGGGCTTGATTTGAGGTTTAGGGTTTAGGGTTTAGGGTTTAGGGTTTAGGGTTTAGGGTTTAGGGTTTAGGGTTTATGGGATGTGAGGTTTAGGGAGGATTCGAGGTTTAGGGGCCTTCGGATTGGTTGGGGCTTATAGGTTTACACAGGCAATGTTCCACATGGTGATCCCTTGTTGGTGCTCTGGGTATTGTTTAGGGTTTGGGGAGAGACTTCCGTGTTTTTGTAGGAATCCGCCAACAAAAAAGATGGTATGTATGTATAGAAGTTATATTCACTTGCAAAACTGCCTATATGGCATTGGAGTTTAGGGCTGGGGCTCAGAGGGTTTGAGTTCGGGTGCTATACCCCCCCTCCCCCCCGGCAAAGCCTAAACCCTAAAACCCTCAACAGTCGAGGCTTCTGGGCCCACCCTACACCCCCCAAACCCCAAAGGCTTCTGCTTTATTCCAGGCCGTTTTGGGCCGCCACTTTCCAGCATCCTAAAGCCCGACAACCCTACAAACCTCAAAGGTCTGAGGCCCTGCAATCCTACACCCGAAGACTTAGAAATCCAAAGCCCTGAATCACTGAAATTCCAATTTCCAGACCCTGAAGCCCTAGAACCCTGAATCCCAAGACCCTAAAACCCCAACCCTTGGCCCATATTTTGGGGGGTATTCGGTGGGCGAGGGCGGGGGTGTCTCGCAGGTAAATCCAAAAACCCGAAACTTAAACTCTAAATCCCAAACCCCAAACCCCAAACCCCAAGCCCCGAACCCTAAACCCTAACCCGAAACCCCGAAACCCTAAGCCCTCAACCCTAAACCCCACACCCTGCAACCCTAAAACCTCCAAGCACTGAGATTCCCCAGGCCGCGGCCCGAATCAGAAGCCGGGGCCCTCATGGCAGGGTTTAGGGTTTAGGGTTCAGGGTTTAGGGTTTAGGGTTTAGGGTTCAGGGTTTAGGGTTTAGGATGTAGGGTTTAGGGTTTAGGGTTTAGGGTTTAGGGTTTAGGATGTGGGTTTAGAGTTTAGGGTTTAGGATGCGGGTTTAGCGGGGCCGCCTTCTTTGTCCAACGCCCAGGCCCCTCAAAAGGGCCCCCCTTAAAGCCCTGAAACCCTAAACCCCTCCCAGGTGCCTACATCGAGGGTTTAGGGCTTAGGGTTTTTTTTTTAACAGGGGTTTTAGTAGGAGGTACTATAAAGCCTCTTAAAAACTGTGAATATCAGGGGGAACATCGCAACCCTACACCCTAAAGCC